AGGAATGAATTCCCTGCATCTCCCTAAAAGATGGGGTAGTGGGCCTGCTAGTTTGGTAAGCAGATTCCACAGACATAAACTAACTGCACACTGTTTAGGATGCCAGTTCGTTCATACCACATCATGTTAATGCCCAGCTGAAAATTCAGACCGTTGGAGGCAAAGGTATAAGGTTGCATCTTACATGCTCAGAACATACTCGCATGGAAAAGGGAAGAACTGAAGAATTTGTCCTTTCTTAAATCAAGTAAGAACTTATTTTTGCAACCTTAATGCTCTTTCAACGTTTTATAATGTACATGTCTCAACATAGTAAAAAAAAATCATATAACTTCAGCACACAAAACTATTTAACAGTGGGTAGAATCTCTCATTCTCCAAATTTACACAACTGTATTTTTTTCTTTTGGAAAGCAAACAAATGTGAGTACAAATCCTCAGTGAACCCCTCCACCTTTGAAGATTTCTAGCATCTCTTGTGTAGACCATTTTAAACATAGAGCACCCCTTTCTCTACCCCAAAGCTCAAGTATTAAAATTGAGAACCACAAACCAGTCATTTTCTTCTGCTCCTTCCAAAAAATTCTCAGTATCCTTTCTCTGCCTTTGCAGTGGTCCTTTCCTCTGCATCACATCCTCACCTCTTCAGCTTGCACTTTTTCCCCCTAGCAAGCGTTAGGCAAATTTAACAGTGGCCTTACCTTTCCCACTTTCCACCATGCCTAACTTAGCAGTATGGGCATAAGATTTTTCCAAAACTAGCCATATTGTCAGTAGCTTTTTGTTGACAAATAGAATTAGTGTGTTAAAACTACTCAGCATGAACAACTACAATAAATATTGGTACAAAATAAAAGATCATTAGAGGCATCTTTCTTGATAAGCAAATAAAGTTTTATTAAATCCCAACATTTAAAGCATTTGTTATACCACATGTTACATATTTTCAAATCCACTCTATACTGATTATATAATGTAATAAATATAACTTTCACAAAGTGATGATACTGTTCTATTCTGGTATTCTGACAGTAATTAACTCCTGTCCCCCGATGAACTGGCCTTTTATAGAAAGAAATATATATTCATTTAGTTAAGTTCTCCAGATCAAATACATTCCACACACAAAAATTTACCAAAAAAAATTTAAAAATTACAAAATAAGCAGCACAGCAATTTTTTTTCAGTATTCCAGAGAATACTGAACATGGGTCTAACATCATGCACATTCAAGTCAAATTGGAAAAGTATAGAAAAAGCCTGGAAGGACAATTAGGGATTGCTGTCTTACAAGATTGTAGAAAATGTTAATTTCTCTTATTATCAAAAAGAAAACTGATCTAGGATACTTTCCACTGATACGTTAACAAAAAAAGGCAAAATAGGAAAAGGCTTTGAAGCATTTTGGCACAGAAAGAAAACATTTTAAGTGATAACTAATCATCAAGCAAACAAGCTTTCAGAGGGAGACTTAAAGAAAAAAATTAATAAGAACTAAATTATTGAGTTTTCCCAACGTAAATTTATGAAATGATAATATGACCACTCCTAAAAAGATATATATCTGCTCCTGAAATGATACACAAAAATCTTCCAAGAGGGGCACATACAAAGTAATGAAGTAGTCATCTATGTACCCCTGGGATGCAAAGACCACTTCAGCTAGGTTTCTGCACACATTTGGATGGAATGAAAAGAGAAATAAAAAGGGTAGGGGGGAAAAAAGGAGAAAAAAAAATACTAGCAACTCACTAGGAAGGTAACATCATGTAAAACCAGTCCCACAAAAGCCTCCGGATAAGGAAACCTGCTTAGTTAGTCGTCTTAACACAGTAATAACCCTCAGCGTAACAAATGAAAAGCTGTCTTCCTGGACTACTGGCCTAGAGGAAATACTCTGCACTACTAAACCCAGAACACAGCTTTTAACTGAAGGCATGTTGGTAGGTAAACAGAGGGTTACAGGCTATCAAGATTCTCTCTACATAAGACCATTTGATGCCATGCCACCAACGGTTGAGAACCTCAAAAGGACCTCATGCAGGCAGCGGGCAGTGATAAATACACATGGAAACTTTTGGATATTTAAGCAGGTATTATTGCAAAAGCATAAAAAAAGTTTAAAAATCATAGGTGTTGGGAAACAGAAGTTATCTAGTCTGGCAAGTAGAGAGCCTGGCAGTTCAGGTGTTCAGTTTTCAGAATAAAAGAGGACTGACTTCTCCAACTCTTCCACCAACCTTCCAGTGCACATGACACACAGTATTTCTCAATACTCCCGTGAGTAAAAATGAAAGATGTTCATACAGAAGAACAGGATACAAAACCAGCTTAGCAATTAGAAACTCTGCTTGGGTGGGGCTGAAGGGAGTGGATAAAGTGAAACTTCAAAATTTCACTTACAGAAAATCTCCACTTTACAAAGCCTATGGTCCTCTTCAAATACACCCCCACACACCTCCTGCAAAACAAGAACAGGAGCTGAAGGATAAAACAGAAGCGTGTCTGGTTCAGGATCACACAGGAAGGCAGGAAAATACTGAACACCACACTTCTGGTCTTGCCATCCTCAGTCGCCTGTGTAAGAACTTATCTCTTTTGCCCCATGCTACATGGGTCTGCCTGCGAGGAACCTGGTGGGCAGAAAGGCAGAGCAAGGGAGACCTTGCGGCTACAGCTGCAGACTTCAGAGGCAGGATTCAGAGACTTGTATTGTTCACAGTGTTTCATACAGCAACACTGAGGTAGAAGGGGAGGAGAGAGGAAGATGTGCAGAAGTAAACTGTTTCATCAGCCTGGACAATATACACACATTAATTTACATCCTGGCTTTCTTATATATACACAAAGATATGGAAGCAAGAATGTTTTTATTAGTATTTCCCAATATCTCAAATTTCCCAGAATGTTAATTTGTGTTAAGCTCTTCTAGGAAGGGCAGAGATAAATTCTCCATCCCTCATTAACCTGTAGCAGTTGTTCTGCTATGTGCTTATCAGACAACCAGGACATTGATATGCAGATGATATTAAGGAAAGTCACCTGCTGCAGATTTTAGCCTTCTTAAAAAGGACACCATTTACTTGAAATATTAAAACCTGAAACAAAGTTCAAGCATTAACCTATTTGCATTGTTTTCAAATAGCATCTCCTTACTATTGTAAGAGAAAAATCACAGAAAACAAATTAAGCATAAAAAAAAATACCAGAATGAAAAGTAACTGAGTATTTCAGCTTTGGATTTTGTGCTTTACATCAGGAGGTACTGTATGCTCAGACAGCAATCGAAGTTATGTTAATTATGAGTTTTCTTTCTCATTTGCTTTTGTTAGAGCTATTTTCAGTAAGTAATTACTAGATGTCCAGTTATTCTGGGGAAAATGCCTGCAGAAAGACAGCTACTTTCACTCTTTGATATCAGTCTCCCCAGTTTTTTAACTGGAAAAATGTGAATTTCATTAACTGATGCCTGGCAATTTACTGTACTGGTAAGCAGCACAGACTGGAAGTCCTAGTCCATGCTGCAGACAGCTAGCGGGATAGATAGCCATTCTCAATAAAAAAAACCAAAATTATTCCCTTCCCGTAACATTTCTAGCATAAGGCTTCTAGAGTTTACATGCTCGGTGGACACTCTGTAGTCCCTTCTGCAAAACATGCATGAGCAATTTCATTGCAAGAGATCAGAACTTCACCTGTCTGAGATTTGATAAGGCAGCTGCCTGATGGATAATAAACAGTGGAACATGAAGTAGCCGCAGGACACAGATATAACTAAACATGCACAGGACACACATTAGGTCCATGACATCAGTGTTATCTTTAAATGCAGAACTTCTATAATAATGAACTCAAAGAATTAATTTCTTCAGTATTTTAACATGCCCCCGATTTGTTTTATAGGCCCAAGATACAGTTAGTGTTTTCTGTTCAGCTTAACAGAATCTGCTGAAGTCCACCTCAACACGTCTTCTCCAGCTTCCCTGAAAAAGGACTTGCTTTCAGAGCAGAAAAGCCAATATACTGACCAAAAAGTATAGTAGAAGTCTGTCAAATGGAAAACTCCTCAAGGAGAATGTAGAATTATCTCTGTTATTTCAGCTCTGCTGCCTAGTCTCATGGGTATTCCAAAGTACATCGTTCCTGGGCTGACATAGACAAAGGTGTTCTGCCCAACTTTGTACAAGCCAACAAAGAATGGATTCAGAAAATAAGCTCCAGCATTTAGCGGGAACATCTGTCCTCCGTGAGTATGGCCAGAGAGAATTAAATTTATGTCTGGTCTTTCCTGAAGGGCCCACTTTGCAGCAATTGGCTGATGAGCTAACAGCACTATTGCATGCTCACTGCTACAATCTCTGAGAGCTTTTTTTAAATCCATGCCATGTCCTGAGTAGCGCAATACATCTGCTTCAATATCATCAACGCCAGCCAGGCAGAACCAGTCATCAGCGCTCTTCGGTGAAACAATCTTCACATTCTCATTATGGAGTGGTTGAATGTTAAACGATTTTAACAGCTCAAACCAGTTGCTAACATCTGATGTGTAGTATTCATGGTTTCCTGTGACAAAGTAAGTCCCCAAAGGGGAGTTAAGTTCTCCAAGAGGCTCAACAGCAGGTCGTATGATAGCTGCCTCAGAGTCAGTCAGGTCCCCAACAATCACAGTGATATCTGGTTTTAAAGCCTTAACCATTCTCACAATCATGGCAAGCTTGGTCTTCCCAACTGTAGGCCCCAGATGGATATCTGAAAGCAACACCACTTTCAGATTATTCATTGTTGAGGGCAGCTTGTAAACTGGAACCTCCACTGAATTCACAGTAGGAGGCTGGGAAGCATTTAAGAGCCCAACAACAGTCAGCACAACAGTCAGCATGACTGCCAAAACTGGTTTCATCGCTGTTCTGTTCTTGTTGACAGTGCCCGCCTTAGCGCCTCTCCCAGCCAAGAACTTGTAAGCCTGCTCTACAGAGCCTAGAGTGAAAAGGAAGAAGATAAGAATGATATAGGCCCCCAGGCAAGTGTAGGCAGCTAAAGAAAAGAAGTAGGGCTCTTCCGCAACAAGAAATAGCAACGTAAAGAAGCTTGAATGAGCCAAAGCTAGAAACATGAACACAGCTATTTTCCACGGCATGAAACAGAAGGAACTGGCAGCTGAAGACCTGGAGAACGTGGTGACTGTGCTTCTCCAAACATGAAGAGATCCTATCAACATGAGTGCGTTAGCAAATAGTGCCATCTGCAGCCTTAGAAGCCAACGCCGCATCCTGAGATCGAGTTTTTCTGCCAGATAACTCCGCGATAACATCATGGAGAAGAAAACCACTCCTGCAGCCACTGCAGCCTTTGCTTCAAGGGGCAGTTGCTTGAAGGAGATCATCTTTGCTTCCTGACTGCTCCCTTCTGTTCTGCAGAAGTCTCCAGTAGGCAGTAATGTGGTTATGAAGGGATGCCTTGGGTCAACAAAGCCTGCAACCAGGAACCAGTATCAGCCGTTTTAAAATATTACACACATTCCCTTTTTCCCAGACTGCAATAACAGACTGTTACGCTGCACATACTACCCAAAATGCTGGGTTATGCAGAATAAGTATCATAAAGACAGAGAGGAGATTTCCTGATGTGGAATAAGTCAGACAACCGAAAACACTGGATACTGGCAGTCCCCTTCCAAGCTCCCTGCCTTCCTCCCTCAATGATTCCACCCCTCCCTTTTTTTTTTTTTAATATGCTCTTTCCTTATTAAGATTTCCTTATAGTAGATTACAATGGACCACAACAGTGATGCAATAAGTCCTGGAAACAATCATTATTGTATTTGCAAACAATCATTATAGTATTTGTAACATGTTCTGGGACTAAGCTACTTCTGCTGTTAACTTAGCGCATGTGTTTTCTGTTCATCTTCCCAAGCAGTTGGCTCCATCTCAAAAGCAGGTATCATTCTACATCATTCTTACTAAATGCAAGGCAAGCCCCACTGGAATAGCTACCAGATGCAACTGTGGTCCCAGAAACTGCAGATGATGTATCAGCAGATATCCTTGCTTCCAGGTGACTTCCCCAAAGCCCTCACAATCAGCAGGGCCAGTGAAACCCACATTGTGTTTTGCTACTTGCTTCCTGCTCGTTTCCACTACATGTACAGTTCCCGAGACTCAACACCTATTTCAGCATATCCTGGCCTAACAGGATGCACTTAAGTTGAAAAGGGATTAAAACATCATGCAGTGTACTCTTTTAGAAGTAAGGGGAACACTAAGTCTACTGCATCTCTGCTCACAGATTGAAAATAAATAAGCAAGCACCAGCTATGATTGAATTGTACTAGAATTCCCTATTTTGCTCTGTATTTTGCTCAGAGTTCACAGTGTTTCTACTAATTCCCAGTTTGCACATTTTTATTTAAAATAAACCTACTGCTTTATTTTAACTATAGATGAAAAAAGTTTGGATGGTCTTTCATAACATAAAATACAGACCAAGTTTGAGATAACGAACTACCATATTTAAACCATGCAGCAGAATACACTTACTTTCAAAATACTTCCTGTCTCTCAGTCCACACTTAACTACAGAAAAAATAAGCAATCGTTAGAGCCAAAAATATCTCAGAACTAGGGCACAAAAGTAGCCTTGTAGGGCTCTGCAATGAGCTTGAGCCTCCAAGTCTATAAACCTGAGTTTGCCAGGTTGCTTATATGCAGTATAGAATTTCCCAGTCTAATTTAAAGGAATGTTAGCACCTCTGTGATGATAGGACCCTGCTATATTTTGAGGACTAGACCAAGTTTTAAAAAGACCCCTTCCCTCATTGCTTGCTCAGGGAACTGTGGATTGATACAGAAATTGCGCCTCCCAGCCTCAGTTCCTCAAGCCCTCTCAACTGTTACAAAATTATTCTTAAAAAACAGTGCTATTTTACACACATGCCTCTACAGAAAATAAACAAAGCTAGGAAGATAAGAGCCTAAAAAATGCACTACTGGTTCAAGTCCATGGTTCCTCTAGCCCAGGCCATATTCTGTCTGCACGACAGTAAGAAATGCTGTTTAAAGAGACGGCATGACCCTGGCCACTCTCTGTAGTCTGCTTCCCTCATACTCTCCCAACTGACAAAGCTGTTACATTAGGCATGTTAGAAGGCAAATCCTTGCCTAATCATTTCTGGATGTTCTGTATGAACCTGATCTATCTTAATTTGGCTAATCTTTTTTTGGAATCTGCTAAATACTGTCCAATTCTACAACCTCCCACAGCAGCAAATTCCTGAAATTCACTATATACTTTCACAGCTCTTTTAAAGTAATCTACTAAATCCACCAAGCGTCCCTCCTGTAGTACTACCAAATTTGGTGAGTAGTGGTTCTCCATTCCTCTCACCCATCACCTTCAGAATTTTGTCTCAGCCGTAATGCCACCCCTCAGAAGCCATACTCGCTGCCACCCAATCTGCCCTTTGATGAAGGCCTCCCATGAGACTGTGCTGCTTTTCACACAGCTTGAACCACCTGTGCATCATCCAGCTGCAACACCTACCGAGGTAATACTGACACTCTGCTCCAAACT